TCTACACTTCACTGGTACAGTGCTTGTCTAGCACCATAACAAAATGGAATCAAAGTATCTCAAACTGTGAGCTGGGAATGTGGCTCAGGGGTAGAGTGTTTGCCTAGCATGCATGAAGCCCTGAGTTCCATTCCTCATTACCACATACACAGAAAAGGCCAGAAGTGGTGCTGTGGCTCAAGTGGTAGAGTGCTAGCCTTGAGCAAAAGAAACTCAGGGATAGTGCCCAGGCCCTGAATTCAAGCCCCAGGACTGACAAAAAATAATATTTTACACACACACACACACACACACATATATATATATATAAAATCTGAATTTATAAACACAACCCCACAGCCTCTCCAACCCTCTAATTTCCCTTCTACAGTACCTCCACCTCCTAAACACATGGTAAAATTGCCTCAAGTCCAGCTGAGCTCTACTCTGTAATTATTTGCAAAATTTCATTCTTTAATACCAATGCCAGTTCCTGATTACTGAAGTACCCTAAATCAGTCTTCTTGCTTCCAAACTCATTTCATGCAATCTCATCACTACACTTCCATGTAACCTTTACAAATACAAAGTTGATGACATTCTCCTAAGGCTTCCTAGTACTTCATTACCTTCAGAAAGTTTTTAAAAATATATCATATAAAGCTCTTTACTCGTCATTATCCCTCCTTTCTCAATGCTCAAATCCATCCTCCTTTCTGTTCCCCTTCCCTCTTCTCTCTGCTTCCTCCTAACCCTTTCTCTCCTTGTCCTTCTCCCTTCTACCCACCGTCCTGTCCTCTCCCTGCTTCTCCACTCTTCTCCTCAATTCTAGCCACTCCTGAACAGTCAGGATTTCCCCTGTTCAGTGTCAACCCATTTGCAGCTCTCTGAAAATGGCACATTCTCAAATATCTCTACATCTGAATTGGTTATTAATTCCTCTCATTAAAAATGTCCTTACCAAGTATTAATCTGCCTTCACAATTCTATTAAAGTTTCATATGCTTTTAAAAATGCCTTTTTTATTTTTTGAGCTCTGGGCCTGGACACTGTTCCTGAGCTTTTTTTTTTTTTGGTCGGTCGTGGGGCCTGAACTCTGGGCCTGGGCACTGTCCCTCAGCATTTCAGCTCAAGGCTAGCACTATACTACTTGAGCATGAGCCCCACTTCCGGCTTTTTCTGCTTATGTGGTTGCTAAGGAATCGAACCCAGGGCCTTATGCATGCAAGGCAAGCACTCTACCACTGAGCCATCTTCCCAGCCCCTCCTGAGCTTCTTTTGCTCAAGGCTAGCACTTTACCACTTGAACCACAGCACCACTTCCAGCTTTTTCTGTGTGTATGTGGTACTGAGGAATTGAACCCAGGGTTTCATGTATGCTAGGCAAGCACTCTACCACTAAAGCCACATTCCCAGCCAAAAATGCCTTTCTAATCAACTTCAGTCTGCTCCCTCTAGAGCAGGCTCTTCCTGTGCACAACTCTACTCCTGAAACTGCCTTATTACTGCTGGTCTATTGCCCCACTCCACCCGACCAAGTGAGTGTACAGAACAGACTTGAGTCTTGATCCAAATGCTGAATGAACTATTCTGAAGCACAGTCATGGATAATTATTATGGCTAGATAATTAAACTATAAACAAGCACTAATAGCTATCTCTACTGCTTAAAAAAATTGAGGGCTGGTGAAGGTAGTTTAGTGCGTGTCTAATTTGTGCAAAAACTCTAAATTCAATCCTCAGCTCCATAATTTTTTTTTTTTACTTTGTTACTTTTGGGGGGGAGGGAGGGTCCTGGGATTGAACTCAGGGCTTTTTGTGCATGCTAGGCAAATGTCCTACCACTTGAACCACAACCTTTCTTGAAAGGTCTCAAATGTTTTTGCAAGGCAAGACTCAGACCTAGACCTAGATCCTACTACCTCTTCCTCCAGAGTAACAAGAATTACGGATTAACCACTATACCCAATCCTTGACTTTATTTACAGGTATTTACAGGTTAATAGAACTTCATAAGCCTTCACAAACATAAAATGCCAATTTTCCCTAAGTACTTAATTCCCAGCATTTAGTTATTTGTTAATATTAGAAACAAAACCTTTCCTATTATATTTTAAATTAGGATTTGAGTTTTACCAACCGCAGTGTTAATCCAGTAAGAGCACTTCCCCAAAGACATGACACAATGGCATAAAACTTTTCTGAGTTGCTAGCTGACCAAGGTCTGCTAGTGCACAGCAGAGATAAAAGCTGCTTACCTCTCCCCTGGTTGTTTCCAACATAGATATGTCAAAGCATTTCCACAAACTATGAAGTACCATTAAATCTAAACTATCGTGTGAGCTTCTATCAAAGATCTTACAAGTTCAAATTTTAAGTTTCATGCGCTATTCAACCTACCATATACTTCTTTCCAATAGCTAAAAATTAATAAAACTTAAATTCCAGGACCACCATAGCACAAGACCCATTCAAAAATCCTCAACACACTTTCATGGCTGAAATGTTCTATATCTAATTTCATAATCTGACATGTTCTTTAGCGTAAATCTCAAGGTAAGTTGTTGGTACAGTTATTTGAATTTCAGCTCCCATTTATTTTTAAATTGGAAGGCAAAAATCAGCAGGGAATAATATTTCAAAATGTCTTCTTTTCTTGACTATCCAAACTTGAGCCACTATAGAATAATATAAAAGTTTACAAAACCAGAATTTCCCCCTCCAAAATTTCTGGTACATCTCCCAGATAGCTTGCTGGCTTATCAGACCAGAAAATGAACTGCATTTTGCCACACTAAAGAAGTGGTAGAGCGGGGCTGAGAAGGTGGCTCAGTAATAGAGCGCTTGCCTTGCATGCATGAGGCCCTGGGTTCGATTCCTCAGCACCACATACGCAGAAAAAAAAAAAGCCGGAAGTGGTGCTGTGGCTCAAGTGGTAGAGCGCTATCCTTGAGCTGAAGAGCTGAGGGACAGGGCCAGAGTTCAGGCCCCATGACTGGACCCAAAAAAAAAAAAAAAGAAGAAGTGGTAGAGCATATTAAACTCAGCTCTCAGCAATACTGGTGGGCAACTATGGACAAGATTAGAACTGAGCTGGGCGCTGGTGGCTCACGCCTGTAATCCTAGCTACTCAGGAAGCTGAGATCTGAGGATCGCAGTTCAAAGCCAGCCCAGACAGGAGAGACCATGAGACTCCTATCTCCAATAAACCACCAGAAAACCGGAAGTGGCGCTGTAGCTCAAGTGGTAGAGCGCTTGCCTTAAGCTGAAGAGCTGAGGGACAGCGCCCAGGCCCAGAGTTCAAGCCCCATGACCGACAAAAAAAAAGATTAGAACTGTTTTTAGTCTCTTCCAAATTATTTATAAAAATAGGATTCCTTAGCCTTCAAGTATCTTGAAAGGGAAAATCTCCTTTAAAAAAAGAAAAAGAAAACAAAAGTCAGTACTTCAACACCTGATTGTGGTAACAAAGCTAATATCCAAGACAAAGCCCCTTTATTGAACACCGTGTTCCAACATTGTGGGCAGCTCCATCTTGTGACCTCTCCAGGTTGGCTGCTCCTGCTCTCTCTACTGCAGAGAGAACTTCAATTAGAGAAATTTTTTAGTTCATAGATCTAAACTGGATGCCCCCTCATTGGAGGCTCCAAGAGTAAGACTCTATAAAAAGATTCAGGCTAGAGGAGGTTCAGACAAAACTAAGTGGCTTGAAAGCATTATAATGTGAGCAGCTGAGTCTTATGATGCAATGATTTACCAAAAAAGGGGGGGGGGAAGTAGTTGTGGAGATGTGAGGGAAGGGATGGTAGGGGAAAAAGGAGGCAATAATGCTTGATAAGAAATGTGCTCATTACCTTGCTCGTGTGATTGTAACCCCTCTATACAGTATTTTCACAATAAAAAACTTATTTAAAAGAAAAAAAATCTCTTAAGAGAAAAAAAAAAACCCAGCAGCAAGCACTAAAACACCAGGTGACCTGAAAAGGTAGGGCATATAATCATATATCTCTAAAACATGAAACAGACTTCAGTAGACTTGAATTTACAATGTGCAAAGTATACTTATAGCTGACTATTCATACTTATAAATATTATGAGAAAAGCTAGCAAGAAAAAAAATAGGGCAGCCGGGCACTGGTAGCTTATGCCTGTCATGCCAGCTACTCAGGAGGCTGAGATCTGAGGATTGCATTCCAAGCCAGCAGGGGCAGGAAAGTCCATGAGATTCTTATCTCCAATAAACCACCTGAAAACTGGAAGTGATAGAGCACTCGCTTGAGCTGAAGAGCTGAGGGACAGCACCCGTGACAGGAAAAAAAAAAAGAATGAAAGAGAAGAAAATAGGACATATTATCAAATTGTTTTTAAAGCCCTAAATTTAACTTCTTTGAAAAAAAGGGTTAAATTGGCTAGGAAGGCACTATTTCTCTGCTGACATAAGGCTAGCTGCCCAAGCAAGGCTCTAGAAAACATCTTTACCTACAACAGCACAGAGCAGAAGGCGCAGGGGCTATGGCAAGCTCCCTGATGACACTCAAGAGTCAGATATATGTGGTGTAATTCTGGGATAGACTGCCAACAAGTTACTGAAAGAGGAGAAACAAAACCACAAAAACCTGGCAAAGACATAGGCCAAAACCCTCATGGGTTCTATTAGGACATGAAAGTACATCTTAAATGAAAGTACATCTTAACTCAATCAAGTCTCCTCCCCGCTACCAGACCTGAATTACATCACCCACACTAACATTACCTGATCTGTAAAAGACTTTATTTGTTCCACAGTTGATTTTCCAAAGACTTGCAGTGATGTCTAACATGAATAAAGCATTTCTTAAAGCAAGTAACAAGCCTCACCCCAGAGCAATTAAGATTATAATTAGAGAAATAACCAATGCTCAAGTGCTTTTATCTCCATGAATTTTTATCAGCATGTGCTGGTGTGTGCTATGTAACAGAATGAGGTTAATACTGTTGAGATACTATATTTACTAAACAAAGGCAGCAGTAATTTTTCCTTACCTGAGTATGAAAATTTGAAATGGTGGTTGTTTCAATATCTTTCTTGCCCAAAATTTCCATTTTCACTGGAGTGTTGGGGAAATTAAAAGCAAAATAGTCCAAAAAGTCTGGAAGATAAGCAGCCGCTCCATGCACTATTGCTAAAGCATAGTAAGCAGAATTTTTCTCGTTTTCACTGAATGTCAAAGCAAGAAACTCCTCAGAAAATCTCTCCATCTCCATTGGAGACAAAAATGAGAGTTCATCCATGTACGCATGAAGTACCAGAGCACCGCCGTTGGACTGGTGTTCCTCGTGGATGAAGCTGCTAAATTTAGTACCTGTTTTTAAGAAATTTCTACGAATCGAGTGTTCCTGGTGAGTCGTAAAGGGTGTTTGTACTCCCTGGGGCACCCGATATTCCTGCATGCCCAAATTTAATCGGCACAGCTGTTCATCTTTCAGATACCTGAAGGACTCTTTATTAACTCCAGAAGTGCTATTTATTTGTCCTTGGGTGAGAATCTCTTTACTGATTCGAGTCAGGCCAGCACATACGGTTTGTACTTCTTTGTTGTACATTTTAAGGCGTCTTCCTCGCACGTCTTCTCGATGTTTCTTTTTCTTTTTCTTCTTTATTTTCTTCAAGACAAAATCATCAGCTCTCTGGGTTTTACCATTTTCATCTGGTGTTTCTGGCCACAATAATTAAAAAGAAGTTAGTTGCTAGGATTAATGTCAACATACAAGCTTCTTAAAGTACTTGATCCCAAATCAAAAAAATATAGTCTCCTTTCAATTTCTAAATATCTGTTATCGCAACATGCATCTTTAAAATAAAGATCTTAAAATACAGTAACATTCTGGATTGAAGACTGTTAAAAAAGCAAATACTGACAGGCTACAGATGTAGCTGAGTGGTACAGAGTGCTTTTTTAGTATGTGCAAGGCCTTGAGCTCAATCCTTAGCACCACTATAATATGACTTGCAATCAAATCTAGTGGAAATATGCAGGTAATTTCATATATGCTAAACTGCATGAAATTTTTCACTAATCCTTATCAATCTAAATTGATACTTGTCATATCTCATTGTACTGTTTGTCAGTCTATTAGTTATTACAAGTGAATTAAAAGCAAATTTGACACCAAAGCTATTAAGACATCAGTTTTTTTGTCTAACAAAGTAAAAAGCTATTAAGACACCAGTTTTTTTGTCTAACAAAGTAACAGAGATATTTTTATCTATGTTGGTCAGAGATCTTTCAGGAAAGTCATTTTCAGATATTGTTGGATGTATAGACTGATAAAGATGAAGAAAAAAATCTATGATGAAGAAAAATCTAGGGCTGGGAAGGTGGCTCAGTGGTAGAGCACTTGCCTTGCATGCTCGAGGCCCTGGGTTCGATTCCTCAGCACCACATAAGAAAAAAGAAAAAAGCCGGAAGTGGCGCTGTGGCTCAAGTGGTAGAGCCCTAGCCTTGAGCTGAAGATCAGTGCCCAGGCCCAGAGTTCAGGCCCCACGACCGGACCGAAAAAAAAAAAAGATCTTGCTGAGATGATGAAAAGACACATGATATACTGGGGGAAATATTTGCAAACCATATGGTTGACAAGTGACTTTTTTTTTTTTTGCGAGTCCTGGAACTTGAACTCAGAGCCAGGGCACTGTCCCTGAGCATCTTTTGCTGAAAGCTAGCACTCTATCACAGCACCACTTCTGGCCTTTTCTGTTTATATGGTACTGAGGCATTGAACCCAGGGCTTCATGCATGCTAGGCAAGCACTCTACCACTAAGCCACATTGCCAGCCCAACAAGTGACTTTTAACTGCAACATTATCAATAAAGAATTCTCAAAACAAAGCTAGCACCAGTGGCTCACACCTGTAATCCTAACTACTCAGGAGGCTGAGATCTAAGGATCTCAGTTCAAAGCTAGCCTGGGCAGAAAAGTCCATGAGACTCATCTCCAAATAACCACCAGAAAACTGGAAGGAGCTCTGTGGCTCAAGTGGTAGAGCACTGGCCTTGAGCTGAAGAGTGCAGGGACTGGGGCTGGGAAGGTGGCTCAGTGGTAGAGCGCTTGCCTTGCATGGCTGAGGCCCTGGGTTTGATTCCTCAGCACCACAGAAGCAAAAAGAAAAAAGCTGGAAGTGGCGCTGTGGCTCAAGTGGTAGAATGCTAGCCTGGTAGAATGCTAGCCTGGAACTGAAGAGCTGAGGGACAGCGCCCAGGCCCAGAGTTCAGGCCCCCACGACCTACAAAAAAAAAATCTCACATCTGCCTACTTACAACTCTCTTCACCACAACCACTATCAGTCACACATTTTTACACGGTCATATCATTATGACACACTGTGTTGTAATGTCTTTATTTTCCAGTGTAATAGCACTACAACAAGGTCTCTATTTGACACATTGTGTTGCACTATTTTCCAGTGTCATATAATTACCACTCACTGCTACAATGTCTATGGTTTCCAGCCTTGTATCACTACAAGCGATACAAGACATGTGTTACATGTCTCTGTTTTACAGTATCACTTCACTATGACACACTGGGTGGCACTATTTTCCAGTGTCATATTACCACACACTGTGTTGCATTGGGTCTATTTTGCAGTGTGGCAGCATTAGGACACAGTGTATTTACAATGTGTCTATTTTCCAGTATTGTATCATTACCACACACTGTGGTACTTTTGGTGTTGGCCTCTTTTACTTAATAAAATGCATTTAACATTACTCTGTGACTTCTCATGACTGAATAACTAACTCATATGAACATCCATTATATGGATGTACCACAGCTTGCTTTCAATTCATTCATATAGTGAAAAACAATTCGGTTACTTCCAAACTTTGGTAATTATGAGTAAAGCTGCTAAAAATGTGTATATCCAGATTTCCATGTGTATGTTCTTTGCATAACAATCAAGGCATATGACTACTGGATCATATTGTAAAGTATGTTTAACTTTGTAAGCTACCAACAAACTAATCAATGAAAACTCAAAAATGGCTGTACCATTCAATGAATAAGGAAACATTACCTTTGCCAGTGAATATCTCTGTGCCTCACTGTTTTTCATTGATAAAACAGGTGGGGAGGGATAGTATTTCCCTTAAAACTAGTGTGCAGAGTAAATTAAAAATTCACATGAAGGGGCTGGGAATGTGTCTTAGTGGTAGAGAGTGCTTGCCTTGCATGCATGAAGCCCTGGGTTGGATTCCTCAGCACCACCTAAGCAGAAAAAGCCAGAAGTGGCGCTGTAGCTCAAGTGGTAGAGCGCTATCCTTGAGCTGAAGAGGTGAGGGACAGCGCCCAGGCCCAGAGTTCAAGCCCCACGACCAACTAAAAAAAAAAAAAAAAACCAAAAAAACAAACAAAAAAATATTAGTAACAGGGACACCAGTGGCTCACACCTATAATCCAAGCTACTCAGGATGCTGAGATATGAGAATCATAGTTTAAAGCCAACCCAGGCAGTAAAGTCCATTGGACTCATTAACCACCAGAAAACCAAAAGTGGTAATAGGGTGCTAGCCTTGAGCAAAAATGCTAGGACCAGGGACTAGGTGCCCTGAGTTCAAGCCCCAGACCAACAACAAAAAAGTAACAGTAGTCTATCTTTTTTATTTTGTTTGGGACTGGGGCCTGAATTTGATATCTTGCCACTGGAGCACTGGCTAGCGTTCTACCACCTAAGCCATACCTCCAACCCAAGTAGCGTCTGTCATGAAGTTATTTGCAAAGTTTAGACAATGTGTAAGGCCCTTTATCAGAGTATCTGACATATAAGCCCTTATCTTTGTTATCATAATCCTAATAAAAAATATTTGATAACATTTCTTAAAATGCCAAAGACATGAATATCAGAAATGCTAGAAATGACTTGCCTGGAGACAATGTATCATGACAAAAAAAAAAAAAAACAAACACACACACACAAGGGGAAAAAAAATCTCTGAAACAGGGAACTAGGAAAAACATTGCAAACGAAAGAAAAAAGAAAATTAATAAAAGAAAAATGAATAAAAGGAAAAAGACAAAAAAAGAAAACTATTCAGCCAAGTATCTTCTAGGTACCTATACATTATTTCATTTTAATCCTCCAACCAACCAAACCCTTCTGTAGAGGAGGAAACAGTCCAAATAAGGATATATAACTTGGATCACAAAGCTAGCTGGTGACAGGCAATATTCACCTAACTCCAAAATTCAAACTCCTCTAATACAATATACTACACTGGACTCCTGTCTCCTCTATCCTCCTCCACCCCCAGCACCAATGATCATCTAAGATTATCCAGCTACAATTAACAGACCTGAGGTGGCTTCAGCAAAGGGAGTTTTTTGTTTTGCTGATACCGGGGCTTGAACTGAAGGGCCCTTAGCTATTTCACTCAAGCTAGCACTCTACTACTTGAGCCACCAACGCCACTTCTGGCTTTTTGCAGTTAATTGAGTCTCATGGACTTCCTTGCCTGGGCTTACCTCTGAAATGGTATCCTCAGATTCCAGCCTCTTGAGTAGCCAGGATTACAAGTATGAGCCACCATGCACGGCTAAGGGAGTAGTACTATTTTACTCAACAGTGCTCATTACATAATTCCGCGTGATCATAAGGGGGTTTATTGTTATATGAAATATTTTATGTCTTACTTAAAGGTATTTTTACCTCACTAGGTAGATAGAGAATAATATGGGTTTTTGAAATTACTGTACTGACAGATGAGATTATCTGCTTATTTGAATTCTCATTACAATACTAATAGTCCTCCCTTCTTACCCTTCAAAGCATCCTGTCCACCAAATCAAGTGTTTCTGTATTTAAAACTTTATTTTTATTTTTTCAGACAGGGTATTGCTATTATAGACCAACCTGTCCTGGAATGTAGTATTAGCCTAGGCTCTCCACCCCCACCCCCCAACCAGGCTCTTTAACATGAAGCCAACTCTACCACAAGTCAGAATTTTAAAAACAACAACAAAAAAAGAAGTTTAATATTCAGTTCTATCATTAATTAGAAAATTTCAAACATGTCACCTCACCTATTTTACCCTAGCATTTACTGGCTAAATTTTTCTTTCAACTATATGAACAACTTCAAATGTCTAGAACGGTAATAATCTGTGATTAGCCTACACAGGAATTTGGATTGAATACCGTTGGGCAGATGTGCAAGAACTTGTCTGTCTCCTTGCTGAATTCAAGAGTTGCCAAACCTTCTCTGTAAAGAACCTAGGAGCAGGCTTTGAAGGCCATACAGAAGCCAACCCTGGCAGGAAAGTCCATGAGACTCATCTCCAATTAACCACAATAAAACTGGAAGTGGTGCTGTGGCTCAAGTGAGCACTTGCCTTGAACTGAAGAGCTAAGTGACAGCACCCAGGCACAGAGTTCAAACCCTACAACCCACAAAAACAAAAACAAACAAACAAAACTTTATTTCTGAACACTAAATTTCAACTTCATAGGATTTTTACATGTTACCAGCCACTTAAAAATGCAAAAACCATTCTTACCTCATTAGCTATGAAAAAACAGGACTTTTTAAGCCGATATTTGTTGTCACTGAGTCAGGGTCTCACTATGCAGCCCAAGTTGGCCTATTCCTGTCTTTGCTTCCCCTGTGTTGGCATACAGACATGCTACCATAGCCACATTGATTTTTGATGAAGGCACAAAAGCAATTAGGTGGAACAATAATTTTTCAACAAAAGGTGCTACAAGTGAATACCCACAGGTTAAAATAAAAAACTGTAAACCTGAGCCTCATATCTGCTCAAGATTATCTCAAGTAGACAAGATTTTTTAAGTATAAATTTTTAAATCATAGAACTTTTAGGAAAAAAATAAGATTTAACAAACTTGCTGCTTTTACTATGTGAAAGATCTTGCTGAGGGGCTGGGAAGGTAGCTCAGTGGTAGAGTGCTTGCCTTGCATGCCTGAGGCCCTGGGTTCCATTCCTCAGCACCACATAAGCAAAAAGAAAAAAGCCGGAAGTGGCGTTGTGGCTCAAGTGGTAGAGCGCTAGCCTTGAGCTGAAGAGCTAAGGGACAGCGCCCACGCCCAGAGTTCAGGCGCCACAACCGGACCCAAAAAAAAAAAGAAAAAAGAAAAAGGAACTTGATTAGAAAATGGGCAAAAGGCATTAATATACATTTTATTGGCAAGGATATATAAATCTCAAATGATAAGGAGTTGATAATCATTAGACATGAAACCACTGAGATATGCATTAAAGCAAAAACAGTCACATCAGATATTGTCAAAAATATGAAAAGGGCTGGGAAGGTGGCTTAGTGGTAGAGTGCTGGCCAGCATGCATGAAGTCCTGGGTTCAATTCCTAAGTACCACATACACAAAGAAGGCGGGAAGTAGTGCTGTGTGCCTCAAGTGGTAGAGCGCTAGCCTTGAGCAAAAAGCAGCTCTGGGACAGTGCCCAGGCCCTGAGTTCAAGTCCCAGGACTGGCAAAAAAAAAAAAAAAAAAGAAACAATCTCTCATTTGTAACGTCTGTGCAATGTAAAAAAGACTCTAGAAAATACTATAGCAACAAGATAAAAACAAACAAGAAATAAACAAGCCGTAAACATATACACATAATATGACCTAACATTCCTTGGAAAAATGAACACTTGTCACCAAACAAAAAACTGAACAGGAATGTTCATAGACACTGTCTACATGACAGCCTGAAACTGCAACCAACCAAGTAGGTAAATGGTTCCATAGAGGAATCACAGTACATGCACACTACCAAATCCTAACAATCACAGAAAAAAAGACATCTATTCATATACATACCATGTGGACAGATCTCACCGACATCATCCTGGAGGAACAAAGCCAATCTCAAAAATATTACATATGTATCATTCCATTTATACAATATTTTCAAAATGACAAAATTAGGGAAGAAATTAGTGGTTGCCAGGAAGGATGAGGAGCCAGGGAAAGGGTCTAAAGGTTATAAGCGGGAGCGAGGAAGGGAAACATTTTTCTGCCAAGGGCCATTTAGATGTTATACCATCTTCACAATGCTGCACAGAACTATCAGTCAAGTAAGACTGGCCCAGAAAAACACTTCTACCAAGGATGTCAGAAGGTGAAAAGCGTGTCTGTCTGTCCCATCCTATATCAAATGATCTAGAGAGCCTTGCACGGCCAGTGTCCTGGAAGTCCACCCCTGCCCACCTGTGAAGGGAAAGGGATCTCTGTGGAGATACAACAGCCATTTCTTGGCTGCACTGGTGGTTTCACTAAAGCACATGTGACACAACAGCACAGAATACACATACACTGTACCATGATCAGTGACTGATGTTGGTATTACATTTCTTTAACATGGAACCTTTAAGCCAGGCACTGGTGGCTCTTATCCGTAATCATAGCTACTCAGGAGGATGAGATCTGAGGATCCAAGTTCAAAGGCAACCGGGGCAAGAAAAATCTGTGAGACTCTCATCTTCAATTAACCACAAAACGCAGGAAATAGAGCTGTGGCTCAAGTGGTGGAGCACCAGCTTTGAGCAAAAGACCTCAGGGATAGTGCCTAGACTAGAATCAAGCTCCCATAACCAGCACAAAAAAAAAAGATGGGTAAGAATTGCTGTTATTACAATATTCTGTGAATCTATATGTCAAAATAAAAAGTTAAGTTTCCAAAAACTTTGAGTATAAGACCCAGAGGATAAAGGTCAGAAGACAGCTAGGGAGAAAAGTCTGGGAGATTTCATCTCCAAAATAACCAGCAAAAAGCCAGGTTGAAGGAATGGCTCAAGTAGTAGAACACCAGCCATTCACGCAAACTGTGCACCGTTGAAAGCCTTGAGTGCAAACCCCAGGCAAAAACAAGAATACATCCACTGTGATGATTAGAGTTGTTGCAAGGACAAAGCATAGTAAAATAGCAAAAGTTCATTTTAGCTAAGTGCCTACCATGAGACAAGTACTATTTTAAGTACTTTTCATATTACCCCATTTAATCTACATAACCACCATAAAAATTAAATACTACAGAACCCCAATACACAGAGGAAAAGACTGGAGATGACAGGGAGGTTTAAAGTAATGACGTGGTAGAATCATGATTTAAATTCAGATTAACTCCAAAGCCATACCTCCTGCACAAAACAACAGCAAAAATAAACACATTCAGAACAAGAAGAAAGTATCAGTCTGGGCAAAAGTTTGGACTAAATAACAATGTACAACCAGTTTGGGTTTTATATAAGGTTTCAAAACTCCTAAAATGCCAGTATGCACTATCAGATATCTAAAGTACTTCAGTATACAATTTTTCCCAAATGCTTCTAACAGGGAACCCTTTTCCCCTAAAATATATAACTCAACAATCTCTCAGACAAAAGCTAATGTTTTCAATGGCCTGCCTCAACTCATTTCTCTTCTTCATATACTGGTCATACGTGGCCAATTATAAATTCGAATAACATATTCAGGTTCTCAATCATATCTGCCACATTTCAAGTCTGTTCAAGAGCCACATATGGCTACCATATTGAACAGCATAGACACAAAATGGAACATTTCCATCATCTGAGGAATTCTATCCACCAGTACTGGATTAGAGACTTGGTTTTGTTTCTTTAGAAAAAAGAACACGGGGCCAGAATTAGTACACACCACTGCCACATCGCCCAATAAAGGGGTTTAGGTCAGAGATCTTTGATGATTTCTAATCAGCTGCTGCAATCTAAAAAGGATAAGCAAAGAACTGGAAAAAATGAATATGGACAAGAACATAAATCACGCGGCTTAAGAGAAAGGGTGATCTTGGATTTAGGACTCTGGCTCGGTATTCCTTACTCTGTCAACGATTCATGTGAAAAATGTTTTCACTGCCGGGCGCCCGTGGTTCACGCCTGTAATCCTAGCTACTTAAGAGGCTGAGATCTGAGGATCATGGTTCAAAGCCAGGCCGGGCAGGAAAGTCTGTGAGATCTTAGCTCCAATAAACCACTAGAAAACCAGAAGTGGCACTGTGGCTCAAGTTGTAGAGTGCTTGCCTTGAGCTGAAGAGCGCAGGGACAGCGCCCAGGCTCAGAGTTCAAGCCCCACGACCGACAAAAAAAAAAAAAAAAATGTTTTCACTTTATACTTAGTATTGCGACTTCACTTACACAGGTCTCTTCACCATGCTGGGCCTTGTTTTTTTCTTTTACCACACAAACACACGATCACTCAGATTCCCTTGCTCTCCACAGGAGAGGGTGGAGAACAGGTGAGGGCACATGTTCCCTGGGTGACGGGACGCGGGCCTGTCAGCTGCCAGCTCTCCTGAGGACGAGGTCTGGACACCATCGAAGGGTGGCCTGACTCTCTAAGAAACACGGAGATAGCCTCCCTACTGGAACCAGCACACAAAACTGCCGGTTAGAACTGAGTTAAGACCTCAAAGGAGGAGCCCTCAGCCGTAGCCACCTCGTCGATGGTCTCGAACAGTGTTAGTGTTAATGTCAGTGGGTCACACACAGTGTTAGTGTTAATGTCGATGGTCACGCGCAGTATTAAGGAGGGCGGCGGCGGCGGGAGCCGCGGGCGGCTCTGGAGTATTGAGGAGACACAAGTCACGGGAAGTCAAGTATGAATGCTTAACTGACAGATGGATGGACGGACAGAGTTCCTCCTACCGACCCGAGTACTGCGGGCCCAGGGAGTCGCAGCCGGTCCCGGGGTACCAGCCCATCCCGCCGGGCGGCGCCATCTGAGTGAAGCCCGCGGGCCTCCCGCGCTCCCCCTCCGCCCGCACGGCCTTTCCCGGAGTCCCAAGGAGCAGAGGAGCCTCGCGCGCCCCGAGATCAGCACCACGGGCAATGGAAGGGGATGCAGACGGCCTCCGTCCTTGTGTCTGCGCTCCCGGAGCCCCGCGGCCTCCGGAGGAATTCCAACTCGTGTAAGCGCCCGGGGCCCACCGGGATCGGGGGCCTCGGCAGTCCCCGGGCGGGCGCGGGGGGTGGGGAGAGAGCCGGGTCCTCCGGGGCGAGCCTCGCCTTCCACGGCGTGGAGAACCGGCTGAGTTTGAAACCTCCGGCGGCCAGGATCGGAGCGAGCGCGGCGGGGCGGCGGACGGCGCGACCCGGGGA